ATTGTATACCCATTTTATCAGCCAGAAATTTAAATCTTTTATTTAACCCATTTAACATGATATTATTTGTATTTAAAACCTCCCATATCTAAGTTACCTATCTAACAGACAGCAGTACGTTTTAGTTTTAGGTGAGGGATCTGATAAACTACCTGTTATTTGTGGAGTACCACAATGTAGTGTTTTAGGACCGCTACTGTTTATAATTTATATAAACTAGCAGGAACCCGTCTAACCCTAAAATGGTGTCAAGACTGAAGAGACTAAAACAATTATTACCTATTTAATTCGCGTTTTTGACACCACTTGGGGTACCAAATTTTGGGCTCTAAAACTCCTATTTCTTGGCCTATTTTTTATTTTTTCATGCTGATTTGGAGGCCATTAAAGCATTTGACCCAGTCAAAAAAGATTCAGTTGTATATCTTTGACGGTTTTTGAAGAAATTCGCGTTAAAGTTGATGCCGTGGTGTCAGTAAAATGGCACAGATTAATATATATATATCGTCTCGCTTTATATATAGTAAGATGATATCTATCTAGTATCTTTGTTTCACACAATATAATAGAGCATAAGTTTTGTGGTTTATCTACTGGGCTTAGAGTTTGTGTTTAAGCTACCAAATTTTATTATTATTATTATAACTTATCAGACCTAGGAAAATTTATACTTTTCGCTGATGACACCAATATATCGACAAATCGATAAGTCGACAAATCTGTCCAGAATCTCTACCAAAAAGCAAATACTATAATGAATTCTGTTTACAATTATATGAAATGTTGTACTTCAAGTTTTGTTTTACTTAATATTTTCATAATCAATTGCATGTTTAAATGATGCCCAATGCCCAATTAAACATACAAGTTAGGGAAATACATTATACGGGTGTAAGGCTGTCAGAATGAAGGTGTTTTTATAAAAGCCACAAAATCTTTAAAAACAGCTGTTTTAAACCAGAAACTTCACAAACACCTAAAAACTAGGGAAAGTTTCCTTCCCGGGGTTTGGAATTGTTAAAATTTGCCAGTAAAAGGAAAAAAATGGGCATGAAATATACCCCTTTTTAGACTACGGCTGTCAGAATGAAGTTTTGTATTTTGAGGCCTACATTACAAAAAAAAAACTTTTTGGTTTATATTGGACTTGCAGGCAGTTAGGTAAATTATACACCAATACCATATCACCTCTTTTGTCAACTAAATCACTATTCTTTGGGAATTATACAACATAGAAGGAAGACTGCGGCTGTCAGAATGAAGTTTTCCAAAACAAAGTTGTCCCCATTTTTCCATCATGGCTCTAGGAATCTTTTTAGACCCTCTATCGTTATTAACACATATCTGCAGCGTTATTCTACCCAAATCAAAAATTCCTGGCATTTTGGTATAAGTCAATAATCGCAATTTAGAAAACCTTCATTCTGACAGCCGTATTGAATAGTACACTTTTAAATTTTATATATTGGGCTGTGAGGTATTTCTAGGGCCTATGTTAGCTGTGTGTATGAACTAATTGACAAGTATGACCTTTTACACACTACAACTTTTTCCAATGCTGGCCCCCAATTACTGCACTAGGCCCCCAATTATATTTATTGCATGTTATTGTCAACTTCAACTTGAGGAACAATCCATGGTTACAAGCTCTCTCTCATAACTGCTTGAAATCTTATTAAACTATATAAAAAATAAGTATAAAGAATAAGGAAAAGGAACGGGAATGAAGCCAATACCAGAAGTGAAACCCCACCAAAGAATAATTGATCCTTAGGTAGACCTGGTGAAATAAAGTAACTGAACTGTAAGTATAAGAAAAGACGGAAGGAATAAAGGAGAGAGGAAATAATGTTATGTGAACATCATCAGCAGATGACTTGGCTCACCGGTTTCGGGGGTATAATACCTGTACCGGTTTAATGTGCCAAGACCCCCTAGCAATCACTCGTCAGTGATCACCTGTCCACGTTAAATGTGATGTCAAGGATGTTGCTGACATCAAGTATACTGTATTTGTACAGAATACTAGGTCGGTCTTTCAGAAGCTTTCTGAATTTACTCTTCAGGAGTCTGTCATTATAACATCTTGAAAGAAGTGTCCTATAAAGGGTATTGGTAGAACACAGAAAAGAATCAAGGTCAGAGATAATGGAAGAATAACGAAGGACCTGACCGTAAAAAACATGATAACCAACAGAAGAGGAAATATTACTGTTAGGAAAGGTGTACAATGTACATGACCACAGGAAAGTTGAAGTCATCAAGTTTGTTGTAAAGCTTGGTGGCGACGTGTCCGGAGTTATTCATCGAGATGTTGATGTCGAGATAGTTTACGGACTTATTGTCGTCACCACTCCTCTCCATAAGCAGGTCAGGTGGATAAATGGACCTGATTAGGTTAGAGAAATACAAATAGTTCATGGTGTTGAGGTCGTCGACATATCTGCAGTTTCTTGAGAGGAGCTTAGCGAGACCGAACTTCTTTTCTTTGATTAGGCGTGTCATGTAGTTGAATTCACACTTCCCTAGCGAAAGATCAGCGAACTGGCTACTAGAATTCCCTCCCATGGGAATGCCTTTCGTTTGCCTTAAAATCTGATCCCCAAAACAAACAAAAGTGTTAAACAGAATAAATGTAACTCGTTGAGGCTCTCCAAGATTTGCTCAGGAGGAACAGACACAGGTTCCCTAAATTTGGTACCGTAACTCATGATGCCTCTTAAATCCTCGTGCTCAATGAAAGCAAGGTCACCGGTGATGATGTGGCCTCGAGGCTGATAGCAATAAGGGTTACTGGAACAGGGGCAATCACCTTCCAAGATGGAGGAAATAGTAGTATTATCAAGTGATTTAAGGAATCTATTATAATTAAAAAGCTTACGCCCGACAGGAATATCGTACTTATAGTAAAATTTGAAGGGAAGGAAAGGCGTAAGGTTTGGAGGGAGAAGAGTCAAGATCCTAGAATCACGAATGACTCATTCTATTCGGAGTTTATCAAATATTTTAGAACAATAGTGAAAAGTGATAAACTCGCTATTAACAGAGGTGATATTAGGAGAAGAAGTGCTGTCTTGGTCAGCAAAAGATTGTATAACAAGGAAAATGGCTCCAGATTTGCAGAGGGAATGAGAGCTAAGTTGCTTGAGCTCGCCTTTTTGAAGGCTGCTTATATCTTTATAAAAGTTGTATTTGCTTTCAGACATTTTTCTTTTTAAACTTTCATATTTATTGTCTATCTCTCTTAAAGTGAGAGTCCTTTTGTATATTCTATCTTCATGGCTTTTCTTTTTCTTTTTTCTGCCATGTCCTCTTTTATATCTTTTTATTTTACTTTTAAAATAAATATCGTTAAAGTTGCTTTTAGAAATATTACCAGAACCTTTTATGTTGTCATTGAGACCTAGAGGGTGAGCAGTGCTCAGGAGATTAATCCAAAGAAGTTCCCTGTCAGCTAAGGCCAGACGAGGGTCTTCAGTAGAGGAAGGGTCAATAAAATCAATAATTTGAATGGAGGCGTCATGAAAATTATGACCGGGAGTATTAAAGTGGTCATGGACAAAGGAGGATTTGCCGGCTGTTCTGTGAGCCCAACATATTGAAGTTCAAGCAGTTATGAGAGAGAGCTTGGAACCATGGATTGTTCTGTTAGTGTTCAGTTAGTGATTTCTCTTGGAGAATTTCTCTTTAGACTCTTAACTTGCGAACAAATTGAAGCAGCAAACTTTAGGCTAGAAACTTTATTGAATTGAAATAATCATTCCACGTAACAACGTCTTCTTCAGTTCTGTAATAAAATTGTTAAAAATGTGTAAAAATTAACGACGGAAAGAAATTTAAAATAACATTAAAACAAAAACAGAGAAATAAAATTTACGAAATATGACCCAAAAAATGTAATTGCAAAAAATGTCAAAACAACAAAAAATACGACAAGAAGAAATGTAAGCTAATACAACTAAATACTGTACTACTCATGATACTAAACTAATTAGTAAACGTAAAACTGGTTGTTCAGAATTCACAGTTCATGTGTAAAAACTAATGATAAAATCAGCACTTAAGCAACGATAACTCGGTTGTCATGGTTACTATCCAAGATAGTCCTATCAATACATTATTTACTAGTTAAACATCGACTAAATATTTGTACAAATAACTCAACTCAGAACGATCATTCATTTCAGGACTTAATCTCAATATATACATCGCTTCTGTTCAGTTAGTGTAGTTGCAATTCTTCCCAGCTTTGTTTGGATGTTTTACTGTTTGAAAAGTTGTGCAATGTGTTATAAATATACTGACTATCTACGGGTGTACGTCTGTCAGAATGATGCGGCTGTCAGAATAAAGTTTTTATCAAAGATCAAATTACTTTGTTAGAAACTTGATTTTGGGCATATTAAACAGGTTTGCATATTCTAAAACACAAATAAACACATTCTTTTATGTATCGGTTGTTACTGATGTTTTTGATCAACTTTTTTTGAATGCAGAATATCATCATTCTGACAGCCGCCATACCATCATTCTGACAGCCGTTTGAATTTTCTGTTTTAATTTGTTAACACATGTTTATTGAGGGTTTTTTAGGGTATGAATGCATTCTTTTAGAGTTGTTTGATATACCAGTACCAGGTCTTATAGGGATAACTTTAACAACAAGATCACAAAACTGCCTCATATTTATGCAATGTCAAAATTTGAAAGTGTATTTCCAAATATTTCAGTAATAAATCATTTTTAGCCTTTCTTTCAGTGATGGAAGTGTTTATTTGTGTTTTTAGTATATGCAAACCTGTTTAATATGACCAAAATAAAGTTTCTAACAACGTAATTTGATTTTTGATAAAAACTTCATTCTGACAGCCGCATCATTCTGACAGCCTTACACCCGTATGCTGTAATGGATGAGTCCAGATCATTGAATTATCATCAGAAAATACGATGTTTGTTATCTATTTATTTGTAGGCATTTTCAATCAAGCCATTTGTTTCAGGACTTTAGCAATGTTCAGCCATACAGCCAAGATGTAAAGGGTCTGAAAACTCAAAAGCTGTTTGCTGTTCTGATTCCATGTCCACGGATGGGTTATTCCGGCTTCTTGAATCAGAACACTGTGATGCTTACTACACAATTTACTACCTATTCCATTCCAAAAGCAATGAAGTCAGGGAATTCTTAGGAACAAAGCTATTTAATCTATCAGAAACTGAACTGGAGTTTTTCCTACCCCAACTGCTACATCTGTACATCAACTATTCTTTTGTTGCGGACCATATTCACTCCTATCTCCTTTGTCGCTGCTTGAATGATGATATTTTTGCTTTAAAAACGGTTTGGTGGTTGAAGTCATGCAGTCAAGACGAATGGATGAACCCTGATGCAAAGCGTAGAGGACTCAGATTATTGGACATTATTATATCAAACGACATGAAATCTAAAAAGGGGACTAGTCCTGGAAAGTCATCTTCACCAGGTATTTGAAGTAATAAATTAGAAGTTTTCAATGTTTGTGTTTCACCTATAGCTCAATATTCCTTTTGTAATAATAGCAGATTACTTAATCAAGGAATTGTTCAGGGGGAATTTGGTCAGGGGTTTGAAGTTTTGCTGTAAATCTAAAATATCTCTAACAGGACAATGCAACCCTTTTCAGGAGCATCACTGCTGAACCTATCTGAAACAGAAACCCTAAAAAGAAGCAGTTCAACTCACTCCCTCTCCATATCACCAACTCAACCCCACGTGACAACCACGCCCAAGTTCGTGCGGACACATTCCAGATCCAGATCAGATGACAGTGGTCTGATAAACTTCATACCTATTTTGAGAAGTGCCAGCACCCAACACTTGTCCGATTTAGCATCAGGTGATTTGTCGTTTTACAATTTACATGTTGGTTGTTTTCCCTGGCTTAGAATCATAGACTTTAATTGCAGTTTCGAAATTTGTTTATCATCAATAAGATCAATTGATTAAATTCGATACATCTGATTAAATTAGATACATCTGATTCGATACATCTGATTAAATTAATTAATTAATTAAATTAAATGTGCAGGCGGAGCATTTGAACTGGACTGCTCAAACTGTCTAAACTCCTCCACCTTCTGGTCGTGTAGAAGTCACGTGCCTCGGTTGACAGTCCTACAGAACTTTGTCCAATCCTTCCTAAACATATGTGACAAACTCGGACCACTGGCAACCAAAGAGGACAAAATGAACAAGTTACACGCCGAACTGGGCATCATAAATCTCAACCTTCCAGCTCGAGTTAAAATCCCCACAATCGGTGCCAAACACTACGACATAGTTCGAATTCCACCAAACCAAGGAATCGTACTAAACTCAAAAGAAAGGATCCCATATATGGTAAACATAGAGTATGTAGAACGGCACAGCTCTGACTCCCCACTCCCAGCGCGGTGTACCAGAAACAACGACCCTGCCACGCCCCTAAAAACAGATAACGACCCATTTCAAACAATATCCGCTGCTTCAATCCGGAACAATCTCTCAACCCAATCAGAAAGTGAATGCCCCAAGTTTTCTTACGATAATAGTGATCCGTCAGCTAGCAGGTTAAAGGAACAATGGGAACTGACAGTTCAGCGAACAAAGCAGTTCTCCCCATACGGCCATCTACCTGGCTGGAATCTCCACTCGTGTATCGTTAAATGTGGGGATGATTTGCGGCAGGAAGTGGTGGCGTACCAGTTGCTGAAACAGTTCCAGAAAGTATGGCTGGAGGAGAAACTAGAGCTGTGGCTGTACCCGTACTCGGTAGTAGTGGTCAGTGAGGATTGTGGGTTTATTGAACTCATACCAAACACTGTTTCCATTCATCAGGTTAAGAAACAGAGTAAGCTATCCCTCCTGGGTTATTTTATCCAGGAGTTTGGTTCAGTCACCTCCCAATCCTTCCTTACTGCTCAGAAAAACTTTGTTCACAGCCTGGCTGCGTACTCTCTCTTTTGTTACTTCATCCAAGTGAAGGACAGGCACAACGGCAATATACTGGTAGACAACCAAGGTCACATAATTCACATAGACTACGGGTTTATGTTGTCTCATTCCCCGGGCCGGAACATAGGGTTTGAGAACTCCCCTTTTAAGTTGACCGAGGAGCACGTCGAGGTGCTGGGCGGACAAGACAGTGATTTATTCAACTACTTCAAACAGCTGCTCCTCAAAGGGTTCCTAGCTGCTCGGAAACATTTCGAGCGTATCAAGTTGATTGTTGAGGTTATGCAGTTGGGGTCACAGTGGCCGTGTTTCAACCGCCGCGCTGCAACGGTACACGATCTGCAGAATAGGTTCTTTTTGAACCTCACGGAGGAACAGTTGTCTAAACAGATTGATGGTATGATTTATCAAGCTCTGCGGTCTCTGACTACTAAGTTGTATGATAATTATCAGTATTTTACTGGTGGTATACTGTGAGGATTTAGCCGGATTTAGCAGGATTTAGCTGGATTTAGCAGGATTTAGCAGGAGAATGGTAGGAGAGTCACAGAGAGCTGATTTTGCAGAATTTCTATCGTCCGATTGTGTATTATAATAGTTGAAACCGTCTTTTGGTTACGCATTGTAAATGAAATAGACTAGTATTTTTTGGTTATTTTTGTACATGTTTATTTTACGTGGCTGCGCTACTTCTGTTTTAGAGCAGAGATGTTTATTGATTGGTAAAGTTGATAAGATGTTGCGTTTTCTACTTGATATATTGTATAGCATTCTTGGCATAGTTCCATTGAGTGAATAGTTGAGACTACGCATAGAGAATTTACAAATAGTTGAGACTACGTAGAGAATTTACAAAGATTTTATTCAAGGCAGACAGTAATAGGAAAATGTTTAATGACTAGATTTATTTTCACTTTTAATCCCTTTCCATCTGTAAGTTACATTGTTTCACTGATTGACCATGTTGGTAAATGGTTTAGAATGGTTTAGAATATATCTGATATAGTCCCTATAGTTGTATAGTTAGTAGTTTTAGAAATTTAAAATAAGTTAAAAGTAAAATTGTTTGTTATTTTGTAAAACGTTTTTTGAACTAAAAATATTTATCTGCTCCAATGGTCTGGGTTACAAGATATTTCTTCTAATTTTCATATTCTTTAGCGGAGAATGGATTACTTGTAATTGTAACCGTTAGTAACCGTTAGTAACCGTTCAACTGTGATATTTGATTCGTTTATTGATTGAAAAAGTCGTTTGATTGGCGTTTCCCAACTAGTCAATTATGCTTATTTATACTTTTCGCATAAATAGAATATTCAGTCAAGTAAAAGTAGCCTTAGCCTCTTTATGACATATTGGCACGTGATTGAGAATGACCAATCACCGAATTTTTGTCTTACATAAAACTATAAAAACACCTACAGGGTGTTTCAAGACTCGTGTCCAAATTTGAATCCGGCTGATTTCTTTTTAGGGATTATCTTATAGATCGTATTTATTCAGTTCAAGTCCCAAACAAGTAGAACAGCCGAAAAACAGCATCAGAAGGGAGGCTAAAAAGTTAAAACTTGACATGGTAAAACGTGCAATAGAAATATGATTTGAGGGTTCCAAACCTGTTATGCCGGAAGGGGGCTTGGTTCGGAAAGTTGATGAAATATTTGGGTTAATTTTGATATATATTTTGAAACGTAATAATTGATCTATAATTTAAAACTAAAATCGAACTGTTTGCCCTATTTTTTAGATTTTAAGGGTCTTTCAAAATTTGGACACAAGTCTTGAAACAACCTGTATAACAGTCACATAAATTTAGGCTACTGCAACTGTAAATTATCCTACACTTTTATAGCTACCTTACTCGGGATTATTATAACCGGGATAAAGTGGTGGGTTTTGGAAGATTCCGCCATATTTTTCCCGGTCAAAAATTTTACCAGTCATAAAAAAACCCGCCGACTCAGATTATGGGGTTCCAAGGGGGTGGTGATCATCATATTTTCTTTGAAGTCTCATATGTGCTAGAGAAGACTTTTGAAGCAGTGGATGGAGGGCTGTAACTTAATTGGCGGTTGCTACCATAATTTCGTTATAAAAATCACAATTTGGTTATAGAAATCAGATTTCAGGGTGGACCGTGATTCTCACTATTCTTGCCCATGAAGTGAGTAAACTGTGCCACTATTTCATGGTCCACGGTGGATTGATTACTGGAGCAGTTGAAGATGCAAAGCCAAGACGTTCCCCAATACCAAGCGGTGGGCAGGAAATTAAGCTCCGGCTGACCTTCAGAGCAGTAGCCCCATTAGCGGACAAAATGAAAGTCTTGTTAAGACAACAATACAACTTCGAATTTGACGGTCAGTGCAGCAGGGGGATATCAATAATGATAATGGAGGGGACATCAGCGATAATGAGAATGAGAATACGCTTTAATGAAGATTTGACTTATTATTGCTATAGATTTATTTTCCTTTAAATACTAGACGTGTCTTTTTTTTATTTCTGAGTAATATCAGTAACTGTAAATTGAAATAACTTCTTTAACAAGTAACAAAAACAGAAATTTCGGTTGAAAATTTGTTGACCTCTGAAAAAAAACTTGAAAGGTCGGCCACCGGTAAATACATGACCGGGATAATTTGGCGGGTTTTGGGAAATTCCGCCATATTTTTCCCGGTTATTAATTTTCCCAGTCATAAATTAACCCGCTATAATATTCCCGAGTAAGGTATTTGCTTTTACAAGAGTTGAAAGTTATGATTTATTGGTTAATTAATTAGCTAATTAGTTAATTAGTTAAAATTAAGTTAATTATCTAACAGTTTTATTTGGTAGAGTATGTCAGTGGAGATAATAGAGGCTCAGGAGCAGCTGCAGCGAGCTAGGGACAACTTGCGCCATGTTGAGGAGGGGATTAAGAAAACTGCTACATCTTCAAATCTTAGGTTGCTACTTTATACCTATGAGTATTGCTGAAAGCACAGTGTAAGGCCTACACGCTATGTACAATGTACATACTACATTGATATGGATGCCTGACTGTGACTGTCTGTTTTGTATTATCTTTCAAAACCCATCAGATAATATGAGATGTTTTGAGTTTTATCTCATTACTATCAGTCACCAAACACCATTTGACTTTTGAGTTGATAACCTAATCACTAATTCATCGTACGTATAACATGTGTTGGAGTTTTTAGTATTAAAGATTTTAATTTCTTCAGATTTGGAGATAAGGATGCGGGCAGGGGCAGACCTGGCAGGGGCAGACCTGGACGCTTAATGGGTCGTCTTGGTGGCGTCCAGAGGTATTTACTGAGTTTTAATTTTAACATTTTAAACTTTAGTCTTCGGGTACGGTTTTACTTTTATCAAATAAATCAATAATCAGATTTCTTAAAATGTATATAACAGTTTCAATACCTTGCTCGATAATATCAATACTAAGATCATTAGTATTAATGCTTTTCAAACAAAG